ATTCACTCTTGAACAGTGCTGTTCTCTTTCTCTTTTGCATCCAAACAATAGATTGAAAAAGAAGGCAAAGCAAAGTTAAAAAAAAAACAATTTTGGCACTAGGACAGATTCTAGTTTTCTCCTTCAAGACAAATGAGCATTTTTAAACTCTTAGACAAATAAAATACAGCGTCACAGTTTTGATCCCTGAAGCTGTACAGATTTGAGTTGAAGTCCAGGTGTGCACATTATTAGCTCTGTGACATCAGGCACATGGCCACCCTCTCTGAAAAATGGAAACAGTGACCTCACCAGGGTTACATGTATGACTTCAAATGTAACAGCAGTGACCTCACCGGGCTTACATGTATGACTTCAAAGGTAACAGCGGTGACCTCACCGGGCTTACATGTATGACTTCGAATGTTAGTATGCTAAGGCGCTCAGTGTAGTACACTGCTTGGCACGTGGTGGAATCAGCAGTGCACCTCTTCCTCCAAGTGACACTCCAGCCCTCGAGTCTGTAGGCTGATGCTGTTCCAGTACCACCTGTCCTGGCCAGCCTTGCCTTCCTGCCATTAACGGTGCCCGAGAGGTCCTTGTCACCCCTCAGCTGGAGTGTCCCGAATGTGACGGAGACAGAGTCATGACACCTCAGTGTTCCCAGCCTCTTCTTCCAGCACGGAACCTGAGCTGTCTACAAGTCTGGAAGCGGAGCAGACTCCGCCAGGCAGGTGCGCCTGGGTCCACGTGCAAGAGGGGGGCAGGCGAGTGAGTGACGGCTGGGGAGCCGTGGGTTTGCAGGCTGAGGGGCTGCACAGGGGGAGTCGACAAACACCTACTCAGCACCCATTAAGCAACTGCTGCTGGCCCACGAGTGAGGAGTGTGAGAATCCACAGGGTAGGTAGGCAGGACCCTGCTCTCCAATGGCTCCCACCCAGGGGGGTGGGCCTGCTGTGTCACTTTGCCTTTTGAATTGTGCTCCCTTCAGCATTGTTTGGAAGCACAAGGAAAGACTGGCCGTGCATTTTAATAACTCTGGTTACTGTGCTGTGTTCCTTAGAATGGGAAGCCCTGATGAGGTGTGTCTCAGCTCGTTGCGTGCAGCTGTAACACAATGCCCACACTGCTACTTTATAAAAGACAGAGATTCTCAGTGTTTCCCATAGTTCCAGAGGCTGAGAAGTTGAGGATCTGTTGAGAGCCCACTGCTGCATCACCCCGCGGAGGAGGCAGAAGGCAGACGACAAGGGCGGGGGGCGTGCGCAGAAGACACAAGGTGGGGGTGGGGGGCTGACTCATGCTTTGGTAAGGAGCTCAGGCCTGTGGGTTTGACCATTCCCGTGACAGCGCCCTGAATCCAGATGTCCATGCTGGTCCTGTGGGGCCTGGAACGCTTTTGTTATTCTATGGTCATCTCCTAACGAGTTGTCTAACCTCCAACCTTGGCCTTCTCTACATTGCTGCCCACAGGTCTCACCGACACACAAATCTGCGAAGGTTCTAAGTTAACTGTCCAGCTCCAACAACACCTTCCGTTGTTGCCCACTGCTTCCAGAATGAATCCGAATTTCTTAGCATGGCAATTAGGACCTTTTGGAGATATGGCCCTACCTACCCTCCAGTCTGGTTCCTTGTGGACCCTCCCTGCCTCCCTTGAATGCCACAAATATCCCAAGCATGGCACACATGAGCCTCCCACTTGGGCACAGAATTCTTGAGTCAGCTGAATGCTTTCTCTCTACAATGACCTCGTTCCTTCTCATCTTCAGTCTCTTCTGCCTGGAAAATCCTGAGTACCCCTCGAAGTCCACTTCCAGGATATCCTGTCCGGGAAGTCTTCCTGACCTGTCCAGGTGGAGCTAACCTGTCCACCCTTCTTGGTGCTACCTGCTGTATCCATTAACTACCTGCATTGTTGCCTTGCGTGTTGGTTATTGGTTGAAAGTGACTGTGGCTGGATTTTCCCAAGTTGATTGGACAGACGTCACTGGCTGAGCAGGTAGCCCCTTCTTCCAACACGGATCCCTGTCCTTTGGTGCTTTTCACCCACCTGTTCCCTCTAGTTTAGCACGCGCATCATATCCTCGGGAATAGCCTGGAAGCTGCGTGGTCTTGGACACACTCACACCTCATGAGCTCATGCAGAGTTGAAGAGGCGGGGCCCCTGTGTTCCTGATGAGGGGCGTGAATTCTGACGTGGCCGGGCTGCCCACCGTGTGTGGGGTGAGCCTGCTGAGGTATGGCACACTCTCCCCAGCTTCTCTCTGCAGCCCAGGGTTCTTCAGTCTAAGAAGAGGTCTCTGCCCAGAGATACAACTCAGGAGTAGGCCACAGTTCAGGAAGCTGCGGGAGTGGTATTTAAGGTTCCTTTTTCCTCCTGTTAGAACTATGTAGCTTTCTAAACTTCAGGCTGCAGTGTGGTCAGTACTGGCACCACACGTATTCCTAGGAAGTACATCAAGAAATGGTGCTCAAAATCCATTTCTGTGCAGGCAACAAGATGGCTGTAGTCAGGACTCCAGGGTCTTGGTTGGCTGCTGAGTGCCCAGGCCCTTGGTCCAGTGCGATGGCTCACGCGGTGCCCACACCGCGGCTTCCACGGCTCTCAGTGCGGGAGCCCTTGTACCTGGCATTGCCAGGACGGAATGTGCAAGGCCACCGAGGCTGCAAACCAGCCTCGTGCCTGGAAGATTCTAGAACTTAAGGGAGACCCTCGTGGTTTTTCTGATGAGTGCACATTCTCCTCTTTCTAAAAAAACAAAATTGATCAGTGGCACAGGCAGTCCTCCTTCTCAAGGTATCGCTTCCAAACACATGCCTCGGCCAGATCTGAGTCAGCAAGGCCACTGCTCCACGCTCTACAGCCCGGTACCCTGGACGCTGTGTGTGGGAGCCCGAAGGAAGGCAGGTGGGCTCCTGGGGGCACTGTGGACTCTAGACTGACCCTCAGGGAGCTAAGGGGCCTGACCCAGCCGCTGCACAGTACTGGGCACGGCTGGAGCTGGAGTGTGCACTTGCCTCCCTCTGGTGGCTGACTCTGGACTGAGCCTCGGCTTCAGGACGGCACTCAGGCCGGTTAAGGACTCTGTGTCCTCCTCTAACTCGGGGATGGGGATGAGCCGGTGGATGCGTCTGTGTGCCTCCCGCCCTAGCCCAGAATGCTAGCTTGTTGTTAGCTCAACACTGATGGTAACGATGGCTAATGCCTGTAGCAGGCTCGTCAGGGGTGTGCGCAGGAGAAAGGTGGGCTTACTGGGTTTATTAAGGAGCTTCATGAACTTTAGATTTCCCAGATTCTTCCACCTGGTAGACTTCCACTCTTCCAGATACATTCATTGTTTATTTATTTATTTTTCTGTGTTATCATTCAACAAATGTTTATTCAACAAGTATACATAAAGAGGAAAAACACTGACCACATTCTAAATGAAGTATTTTTTAAAAAGATTTTTGTATTTATTTGAAAGGCAGAGTGACAGAGTGGCAGAGAGAGGGAGATAGGGAGACAGAGGGAGAGAGGGAGAGAGAGGGAGAGAGAGGGAGAAAGGGAGAGAGAGGGAGAGAGAGGGAGAGAGAGGGAGAAGGGAGAGAGAGGGAGAGAGAAGGGAGAAAGGGAGAGAGAGGGAGAGAAGTAGAGAGGGAGAGAGAGGGAGAGAGAGGGAGAGAGAGGGAGAGAGGGAGAGAGAGAGAATGTGTTTTCCATCCGCTGGTTCACTCCCCAGTGGCCACAATGGCTGGAGCTGAGCTGAACTGAAGCCAGAAGCCAGGAGCTTCTTCCGGGTCTCCCACACAGGTGCAGGGGCCCAAGGACTTGGGCATCTTCCGCTGCTTTCCCAGGCCACAGCAGAGAGCCGGATTGGAAGTGGAGCAGCTGGGACTTGAACTGGCGCCCATATGGGATGCCAGCACTGCAGGTGGCAGCTTTACCCTCCATACCTCAGCACGGGCCCTATAAATGACTGTTAAACTAGGAAGGACACAGGCACGTACACCAGAAATGACAACGAGTGGCAGGGATTTTGTTTCTCCTTCCACTCCTGACTTATTCCTGCGGTGACAGCGTTTCTGTTCAGTGACTGGAGTTTGTCCTCCTGGCTTATTATCCACGTCTGCTCTGGCTCTGACTCCAGCTTCCTGCCAATGCAGATCCTGGGTGGGGCAGGGCCAGTGGTCACGGCTCAAGGCATTGGGTGCTGCCACCCACACGAGGCCTGGATTGAGTTCCTGCTGCCCAGCCCAGCCCAGCCCAGCCCAGCCCAGCCCAGCTGTTGTGACCATCTAGGAGGTGAAGGGCAGATGGAAGCTCTCTCTGTCACTCTCCCTCTTAAACAGATTTAAACAAATTTTTTTGTAATTCTTTAAAAACATCTCTTTTGCTCCTCTTCCAACTGCTACCTTTCCCAGGATAAATGAGCCCTGATTTCACCCACCCTGGGACAGGGGCCAGAGAGGACACCCACATCCGCTGGGCCCAGGAGAGACTATTGTTACATCCTGTGGCCTCTGCACCTGTTAAAGCCGTGAGTTTCTCTCTCAAAACCGTTTGTGTCCTGGCACCCGAACCTCCCCCCACCTCGGAACAACGCAGCCACCCCTGGGTGTTCAACGATGGACTGTGAGAGCTGGTTCTCGGGTCACAGTTACGCCGCCACTTGGGATGCTCACGCACCCTGAGTGCCTGAGGTCAAGTCCCAGCCCTGCTCTGACCGCCAGCGTCCTCAGCGAGCACCTGGGGAGGCAGCAGGCGATGGCCCAAGTAGCTGGGTCCCTGCCACCCATGCGAGACACTCGGATTGAGCTCCTGGCTCTTGGCTTTGGCCTGGCCGTTGCTAGCCTTTGGGGAATGAATCAGTGGATAGGAGATTCTCTCTCTCTCTCTTTCTCTTTAGCATTAAAATGAATGAATACAATATTTTTTTCAAGAAGAGTTGATTCTGAGCATAAAAACAATCAGACTTGGGAAATGATAACGTATTCTGCCCTAATCTCTCTCTCTCTCTCTCTCTCTCTCTCTCTCTCTCTCTCTCTCCCTTTCTCTGTGAGTAAGTTTGATGGAGAGTCCACAGTGCCTCCTAGTGCAGCCGTGTGAGAACTGACGGACCGAATCCATCGTGACGGGGTCCAGGACAAGCCCTTCTTGGTGCGGTTTCTGCTCTGTACTCACCATCCAGGGCTGGGTGACAGCTCTGTGCATCGCGGCTGAAACACAGCTGTGTTGGAAACAGTGGTGGGCAGCTGTGCTGGAACCACTTCCGGCAGGCTGGCCCCAGGTGGGAGAGAGGCCTCCTCCTGGGAGGAACCCGTGTCTAGCAGGAAGCCGCCGGCCGGTGGTTCTGAGCTGCTCCCCTGGGGGAAGTGAGGACCTAGGCTTTGCTGCCCACCGGAAACCCCCTTCTCCACTGCACGTCCGCGTCCCGGGCCCTGCCCCAGGCGGGATCAGGAAACTGCAGAGATCTTTACAGGAAAAGCCCTGCATTCTGTGAACTTTGTCCTCACGCTCAGGAGTGGGTTTCTAGTAAACTGGCATTGGCCGACATGCAAGGGGCCAGGCTTTCCTACTTCTGTGACGCTGGCGGGGAGCAGAGGCTTCGGGTGGAGCTCGGGACACTTGCGTGGTGTGAGGCCCTCGGCTCCCAGACCAGTTTCGCTGCTGCGTTTGCATCATGAACGAGAAAAGCAGTGGAGGTGTCGTGAGGACCCAACCACGCCACACTGGACACTCCCTGGGTGTTCATGGACCTTTATCCACGTCTCCTCTAGAGTGAGCCGAAGTTCAGCGTGGGGGGGTCTGCACAGCCACCACACCCTGCCCGTGCCACGCTGCCTTGGCGTCTGTCCCCTCCGGCCTGGACAGTCCTTGCACACCTGTACTCCCCTGCTGCTTCCTGGCCACTTCAGACCAGCTCCAGCAGGAGCAAACCATCTCCAGTAACCTCCACGCTTGCCCTCCTGGGGTGGGTGTCTTCGAAGCTTCCTTGTAACTTAGTCATTCTGTACTGCAGTTGGTGAGTCTGTATGAAACCTCTGCGGCTTAACTTTCTGCATGGTTTCGACTGCTACCATTTAACGGTGTGCAAAAATGCTCTTGATAAACAATGGACCCACATGGTAATGAACTTCCATGAGCTAGTGTTTACACAGCTCATGCAATCTTCCTCCGTCTTCACAGGCTACCCTGACGCCGTCTGGATTCACATCCCCAGGATACAGCCTGGGCCTAGTCTCCATTTACAATGATTTTTAGTCACAGATATGATCACGGAGCCATCTTTTCCACTACTACTATGACGTTTGTTTTTTCTTCCAGAAAGTAAAGACATAATTTATGAAGAAAACTTGTCACATACATTTAATACTTTAGCCTCATTCTTGAGAATTTATCCTAAGGGAGTTATTTTTAAAAATCACCAAATTATAGATTTTTTTAAATGAAGAATCCTAAATATGGGTTTGACTAAGTCCAATATGTCCCTTTTATTGAAAATGCTATAAACTCAATAGGAAAAAGTGTGGTGTTATGTATGCCGTATAAAACGCTGTCATAGAAAGTGTTGCATGTGGGGCCAGCGCTGTGGTGCAGTGGGTTAATGCCCTGGCCTGAAGCGCCGGTATTCCATATGGGCGCCAGTTCTAGTCCCAGCTGCTCCACTTCTGACCCAGCTCTCTGCTATGGCCTAGGAAAGCAGTAGGAGATGGCCCAAGTGCTTGGGCCCCTGCACCCAAGGGAGGCCCGGAAGAAGTTCCAGGCTCCTGGCTTTGGATCGGCACAGCTCCGGCTGTTGTGGCCAATTCAGGGAGTGAACCAGTGGATGGAAGACCTCTCTCTGCCTCTGCTTCTCCTTTCTTTGAGTAACTCTGACTTTCAAATGAATAAATCATGAAAGAAAGAAAGAAACAAACAAACAAACAAACTAACTAACTGTTGCATGTAAGCAAAATAGGACTACACAACTGTCAGGCCAGGCGGGTTCTAGGATTGCCGCTTTCATGAGCCTGATTTAGCCTATTCCATCCTATTTCATGGATACCGGCAGAACAAGACTTCCGGGTGAGAACCAAGTGTTGCTCCTCGCGGCAGAGCAGTCCCTGGTTGATGTCCTTTCGTGTTGCTCCTCCCGCTCCCGAGTCCCAGGACTGCATATAAAGGACACACCATGAACACCTGCACACGAAGTCTGCACTACAAAGGGACCGGAGCCTGGCGACGCCCCGCTTCCAGGGCGCAGAGCGTGTCTGCTCTTCCTGGAGGGTAAGTGGACTCACCCCTGCAGGCTGCGGGGCTCCGGACTCCGCCCCGAGGAGCCCGGGCACACAGCTCCAGCTGTTCCCCGCGTGCCCAGGAGGAAGCTGCAGAGAAGCCGAAACCGTGGCAGTTTGACTTTCCCCAAAATAGCGCAGGCACTAGTCAGGGGCGTGCGACTAGAGGAACGGGAGACACACGGTTCCTAGTGTGATAAAATTCTCCTTCGTCTTGCTGTTTGCTCTTGTTAGATACGTAAGTAGATATTCATATACCAGCACAGGACGCGCACTCTGCTCAGTCTCTGTTTTCAGAAAGCCAAGTCCTCCTCCTGCCACCATCCCTGCTTCCCTCCCTAGTGGGAGACCCCCCTCTGCTGCTCCCTGTCCGTCCTACAGGCCACAGGGCGGGCACTGGAGCTCTCAGCGCTCCGCGTGGCAGTGCAGCTTTGCACCTCCCCAGAGGGACCCTGTGACCTCAGCTCTGGGGCTGTGGCTTTAGAACCTTCTGTGCGGGGGTGACAGGTGCCCTCATCTGGCTTCTACGCGGAAGTGTTTAAGGGTTCCCCCTTAGCGTGACGAATGGCTGCTGAATGTCATCGAATGTTCGGAAGCGTGTTCAGATGCCCCGGGGAAACTCACTTTGGTTATGCTATCTTGTCCTATTTCTGTTTGCTAGTAGTTGGGTTACAAAGTTTACACTGGTGCTGATGAGTCAGATTCACCGGTCGTTTTCTCCTCCCGTCCTTGTCGGATTTTAACACAGAGCTGGGAGGGGGATCTCTTTTCTTTATTCTCTGGATTAAGAGTCAGATCTTTTGTTCCCTGAATGTTTGGCGGCACTCACCAGCGCGATTGTCTGGATCTGAGATTGTGTTTTGTTTGACGGGAATAAAAACCAAGTCCTGATTCTGGCCCTGGATGAGATGGAAGAGCCTGCTCCATCCTGTCTCTCCACTGAGTGCCGCCTGGAAGCCCTCGTAGGTGCTGAGAGCAGCTGCTTCAGGGATCTGAAAAGCAAGTATCAGCAGGAAGATCTGCAAGCCCAGAATCCAGGTACAGGCAGCCTGGCAGTGCGTGCACCCCTGTTTCCTGTAGTATCCCTCAGCCTGAAATCGCAGCCAAAAATTCTCAAGGAGGCACAGGCTGAAGACAGAAACAACTCTAGGAGAAGCCCCCTAGTTCTGGCTTGAACGGAATTCCTAATATTCAAGCGGAGTGTGACATCCTCCGTTTTTTTCTTTTCTTGCACACTCAAGTGTGTAAGAACCCTGCGGTGGCAACAAACGGAGCCTGCGAAAGCCAGACTCCGAAGAAGAGAGCTGTGCCTCCGATCAGGGACTCTGCGGCCACCGTGGAGTCGGGGCCAAGGCCCAGTGCACGCCCCTCTTTCACCGCCTGGCTCTGGACAGAGGCGCACTTGAAGCACTGGGCGTAGCAGGCAAGTAAAGCCCTGGCTTTCTGTCTGCAGTGTGAATAGAAGCCCCCTAAAACCAGAAGTCCTGAGGGGGCCACAGGGAGACCAGCGGTGTCAGGAACTCGAGGCTGATCGCTGGATCACCCACATGTGGCTCTGAACCCAGGCGGCGTTATCAGAGACGTTCGACTCAACGCCAAGGTGAGCTTGCTGCTCCGATTACAGACTGCCCACTGGGCTGCTCACACGAGACAGGTCTGAACGGCACCACAGAGGCTCTGAGAAAAGTGTCCACTGGCCTTCCATTTTAACTTGTGGCTTGCAACTACCAGGGTGATATCTTGCTAAAACAAAAATGGCATTCCTATAGAATTAAAGCTCAATATTTCAGAATATCCCAAACATACATAACCCAACCCCACATTACTTGGCAACCAGAGAACTGGGAAAATCTCAACAGGCTGTAGTTAAGCTGCTGCCTGTGATGCCTGGCATCCCACATGGGTGCCAGTTCATGTCCTGGCTGCGTCATTTCTAGTCCAGCTCCGTGCTAATGCACCTGGGAAAGCAGCAGAAGATGGCCCAGTGCTTGGGCCCCTGCATCCACATGGGAGACCTGGAAGAGGTTCCTGGCTCCTGGCTTCAGAATGGATGGAAGACCTCTCTCTCTGTTACCTCCACCCCCACAAACTCCCACTCTCTATACTATGACTTTCAAGTAAATAAATCTTTTAAAAAAGAGAACAAAACATACCCAATACAACCAGAAGGAAAATAATAAAAATAGGAGTAGAAGTCAGGCCAGTGCCACGGCTCACTAGGCTAATCCTCCACCTGCGGTGCCAGCACACCAGGTTCTAGTCCTGGTCAGGGCGCCGGATTCTGTCCCGGTTGCCCCTCTTCCAGTCCAGCTCTCTGCTGTGGCCCGGGAGTGCAGTGGAGGATGGCCCAAGTGCTTGGGCCCTGCACCCCATGGGAGACCAGGATAAGTACCTGGCTCCTGCCTTCGGATCAGCACGGTGCGCTGGCCGCAATGTGCAGGCCGCAGCGGCCATTGGAGGGTGAACCAATGGCGAAGGAAGACCTTTCTGTCTCTCTCTCACTGTCCACTCTGCCTGTCAAATATATATATATATATATATATATATATGAGTAGAAGTCAAATAACTTAACAGAAAATAAAGTTGATGTTTTGAAATGATCATTGAAGTGGATAAATCTGTAGAAAGACTGACAAAGCAGAAGATACCAATGACCAATACCACAGGCAACCCTTATCCAAACAGGATACACTGGAAGAGCCCTGGGGATGCCTGAAACCTTCGTGTCTTTTTGTGACAACTCAATTTTTTTTTTAAGATTTATTTGAAAGTTAGAGAAGACACAGAGGTCTTCCATCCCCTGGTCCACTCCTCAGATGGCAGCAGTGGCTAGGGTGGGGCCAGATGAAGCCAGGAGCCAGGAGCTTCTTGATGGTCTCCCTTGGGGGTAGCAGGGGTTCACACATTCAGGCCATCAGCAGGGAACTGGCTCGGAAGTGGAGCAGCTGGGACACGAACCGGCGTCCGTACAGGATGGCGGCACTGCGGGCAGCAGCTTGCCCGCCACCCACAACGCACCCCTCGCTTCTTCGCAGTGCTGTGCAGGGATGCACCACAGGTTTCTGTTGTTTCTAACATTCGCCCATGAAGGATTCCTGGGTTGCCTTACAAGTCTCGGCAATCGCGAACAAAGCTGTGATCCAAAATCATACACAGGTGTATGGACTTAAGCTTTCGATTCACAAATACCAAGGTGTAAAACCGCCGCCCTGTATGGAAAAACTGTAACTTTGGTAAGAAATTGACCAAATTCTTTTTTGACAAATTTGCATTCCCACCAGGATTAAATCAAGAGTTCCTGTTGCTCCACCACCTCACCAGCAACTGTTTATATCAGTGGTTTAGGTTCGAGTCCCTCCACTATGCGCGAAACAGTAGCAGGGTCAGTATGCAAGCCCCTAGGGCTTAGGCCGCTAAGCCTCTCTGCACCCGCCCATCTGCGGCGCCGCCTCCGAGGACCTCTGCCCGCTCTCTTCCTGCCGCGTTTTCCCGTTATCGGCCTACCAGGTAGCAGTCCGCAACCGCCTCTCCCGGGCATTCTCTGATCCTCTGCTCACGTTCCCGATGCGCACACGCCGTATACATCTTCCTACAGGCCGCAAGCGTGTGCAGGTAACAGCGCACCTCGCTTCAGTAGACACCGACAGCAGGTGCTTCCCCCTGGGGAGGGCCACGGAGGACCCAGCACGCTTCCTCCGGCCGGGCCAGCGTGGGCGCCGGGCCGCACGCCCACTCCCCGCGCAGGCCCCGGCGGTCTCCGTGTCCTCCCGATCTCCGGGCCTCCGGGCTCCTCTCGAACCCGGGAGCCAGGACCCGCGGGCGCCCGGCGCGGGGCGCACGCCCACTCCCCACGCAGCGCTTCCCGCGGGCCCCGGGCTCTCCGTGTCCCCGCGATCTCCGGCTCCCGGCGCGGCGCGCACGCCCACTCCCCACGCAGGCTCCCCGCGGGCCCCGGGCTCTCCGTGTCCCCGCGATCTCCGGCTCCCCTCGGGCGCTCGGCGCGGCGCGCACGCCCACTCCCCACGCAGGCTCCCCGCGGGCCCCGGGCTCTCCGTGTCCCCGCGATCTCCGGCTCCCCTCGGGCGCCCGGCCCCGCGCGGCGCGCACGCCCACTCCCCACGCAGGCTCCCTGCGGGCCCCGGGCTCTCCGTGTCCCCGCGATCTCCGGCTCCCCTCGGGCGCCCGGCCCCGCGCGGCGCGCACGCCCTCCTCCGCCCGGCGGGGCAGGGGGCGGGGGCAGCCGCAGTCCACGCCCTCCCGCGGGCTCGGTCACTCGGCGCGCGGACGGCTCGGCCACCGGACCGGCCTCCCGGAGCGCGGCAGCGGAGCGCGGCCGGACGCGGCGGCGGAGGGGCCCGCGGCCAAGGGGCCGGGAGCGGTGAGCTGGCGCGCGCGGGGCGCGGGCGGGCCGGGCCGCGGCGGCCACTGCGCACCCGCGGAGCGCTGGCCCCGCTGCCCCGCGTCGGGCCGGACAACCTCGCCCCGCTCGGGGCTGCGGCTGCAGCAGGGGCGGCGGCGGCGGCGGCAGGGGCGGCAGGGGCAGGGGCGGCGGCGCGCTAACTCGCCCCCGCCGCTTCTCCCCTCCGGGCCTCGGGAGGGAGTTCGCCGCGAAAACGAAAGTAAATCGCTCCGGGCTGTGTCTGCCGCGGCGCCGGCGGGGTCCCCGGAAGGGGCGGGGCCTCGGGCGGGGGGCGGGGCCTGCAGACGCGGAAGTCGGTGCTGACCGGCGTGGTCCGCACTGGGCGTTCCCGCCGGCTCCAGGGCTGGGCTGGTGGTGCTCGCTGGCCGCTGCTGTTAGAGACGCTATTGCAGGGCCTTTAGGAAAAAGGGCGCGTCCTCACAGGGCTGTGGAAATGTCCCTTTGAAAGGGTCTTGAGCTTTTTTTTTTTTTGTAAATGGATTTATTTATGTATTTATTTGAAAGCTAGAGTTAGAGAGAGGGCTTCCATTCATTGCTTCACTCTCAGGTGGCCACAACAGCCAGGGCTGGGC